CTCATACAAAAGAGTGTGTGGTTAACAGAGATTGGAACAACTTCCCTGGCTCCAGACTGGAGACACCCTTCCCTCAACACAGCAAAGAATCACTGTCTACTGTAACTACTCCTGTTTGTTAAACTTATTAATTGCATCTGATACTCTCTGCGTCAGTGGTCATTACTCATTAACTTCTCTGCCCAAACCAGTGTGTCAACTTGAGGTTTTACTATGACACCAAATGATTCCACTGGATCTGGTCACGAGATCAAGGGATGGACTCTGGCTGGACTGAACAGTACCCACTATTCACTTCAACAGAGAGAGCCGTAGGGGAAAAAAGGAAAGGTCTAAAAGGAAGGAACATCTGGAAAACACAGGAAGCAAGCACTCGAACTACTTTTCCTATGATTTCATTTGTCAGTTACATCTCATATAAGCTGAGAAGTAAAAACAAACAAAACTTTGACCCTGGTAATTCTCAAAGACTTTTTTGGTCATCGGACATTTGCCAACATGCTCTGACTTCAAGGGTACAAAATTTTTGATATTATTTCTGAGGAAAGTGTGAAGATGTGAGACACCCACAATTTATTTTCTGCTATACTATTACAAAACCTTGTATTTTTATTAAACTGATAAAGGGAAGACCTTTCATTTCATTTCATTAAGGGAAGACCAGAAGCTCTTAATGAGTGGATAAAACACAAAACAGTACATTTTAATATTCTTTCTGAGATGAGGGAACCTCAGTATCAAAGCCAAAGGTCAGAAGAGGGCTAGCAGAGGCCGCCAAGATGGGCCAGAGGTGACAAGGAAATGGTGTTAGATGTTGCAGGTATGGAGGACGGGCGCATGAAGGTACCCAGTCAAGTGTAATGGACAGAGATGAACTAATGAACCATCATCAGTGGAGTTATCCTGCTTATTGAAAGGAATGTCAGAGGGAGAATCATTTTGGATTGCTCTGATTTTCACTAGATTGTAAGAGTGTCAGAAAAGTAACTCAAAGCCAGAATGGTCTCCTCATTGAATTTCTATCCATTCATTGCTTTGTCTACACAACTAGCAAAAGATTCACACATGGTTCCCAATATTAACTCTGGGATAATTAAGAAGGGAATTCATACTCAGGAGGGGAGGTGTGACAAACCAAGCTCTCAGCCAAGAAAGGCGAGTGGACATCTAAGGTGAGTGGACATCTAAGTTACTCTTCTGTACAGCACATTTTGACTTCTGACATTGGTAATCTCCCCACATGGTTCCAGGGCTTTACTCTGTGTGTGTTAAACAGGGCAAAAGCTTAAGCTTTCACTGAAGGTTGAGTAAGTAGTCCTGAGATTAAAATAATGCCCAGGAGTCCTGAAGATACTGGGACATCACACTGGCTTAATCAAGTTACAGGACTTCAGTTTCTCCTTCTTTATAGTTAGGCTAAGATAGACATGGAAACAGACAAAGATTTAACAAACCCATAGACAGAAGAGAGAGAAAATCTCGCGGTTAAGGCATAGGGGATCTCCTCTCGGGCTGCTGGTATGAGAATTCCAACTCCCCAGCTTACTTGCGTGTAAGGTTGTGCAAGATACTTACTGTGCTCTCCAGTCTAGGCTCCCTTACCTTCAAGATGGAGATTACAGAAATATGGCACAGGGCTTTGAGAGAGTTAAGTGAGATAAGGACTTCCCTGGTGGCTAAGTTGGTAGAGAATCCACCTGCAATGTGGGAGACCTGGGTTGGATCCCTGGTTGGGAAAATCCCCTGGAGAAAGGCATGGCAACCCACTCCAGTATGCTTGCCTGGAGAATCCCCATGGACAGAGGAGCCTAGTGGGCTACCATCCATGGGGTCACAAAGAGTCAGACATGACTGAGCGACTAAGCACAGCACAAGGTATCCATAGTATTTAAAAGAGTATCCTGTAAATGGTGAGTGCTCAGTTAATTGTTGTTATATGTTTAAATAATTTCATTGGATAAGAGGCAGTACTACATTGCATTTCTCTATTCATGCTCTTGGGGGAAATTGAGCCTCTTCTGCTATAGAATCTCTCCCAGAGAATCCTATTTTGATTCAACACTGAGGGCTTCTAGTCTTCTTGAGACTGAGATCAGTGCCTCCAATGATACAAGGTCAAGGGTCTCCCACTATATGGCATTTCATGGTTCTCCAAGTGTTACTAGACCTCTTAACTTTTAGAGGGAATCCATGGAATTACATTTTGATTGCCACTATAGGTTCTTTTCCATGTTAATATTTTAATAAACTTTATTAAACATTTTTCTTAATTCTCCAATCATTTATATATTTTTCTTAGGATTTTATTTCAAAAGTGTATAGATTTAGCCTTGACAATTTCCCTTTAGGATTCCAGTCTCTGAGAATCTAAACTTCAGCCTTCTCTAGGATCAAATATGTCTTTTAAGTATTGCCCATGCTTTCAGCTTTTTCTTGGATTTGAAATATTATAATTTGTAAGTAGATGTCACATTAGGAAAACTAACCAGATTACCCTGAACAGTTTATATAACTACATCTATAATAACTCCAGAGATGTCATTTTTGTCTTGAAGCAACCCAGAAAATGAAATGCTAGTTTATTTTTGAGAACCTCTAAAAAAGGAGATGTCTACATTTCTACTTGGGTGAAGTTCACAGTGGTTTAAGCACTATCTGACAACGATTCCCAATGGAATGAGAAAAACACCGAGCCTCAGACATGTATGCGATCACAGGCACCTCCAATGCTGATGCTCGCAGTGCTACTGGAGCTGAGAACAGGAAGTGGGTACACTGATTCTGCCATTACCACAGTAACTGAAATCAGCCTGATGAGTGACGAAAGTCTCATTGTTTTTGGACACAGATAGTTTAGACTTGCTGTCAATATTGCTCAGGTTCTACAATTTCATGATTCCACTTGAACTATTCAAGAACCATTCATGATGATTTTCCTAGAATTTTCAAAGTGAAGTCTTTTGCTCCAAAAGTTCCTGCCAAAAGGATTATAGCTGCCACTGTGCTGTGCTTAGCTGTGCTTAACTCTTTGGAATCCCATGGACTGTAGCCTACCAGGCTCCTCTGTCCATGCAATTCTCCAGGCAATAATATTGGAGCAGGTTGCCATTTCCTACTCCAGGGTACCTTCCTGACACAGGGATCGAACCTGCATCTTTAGTGTTTCCTACATTGGCAGTGGGTTCTTTACGACTGTGCCACCTGGGAAACCCTAAAGGTTTATGGCTTATACCAAGGAAAATGATATCAGCTGATCACAAGTCACACTGCCCTGAATAAAACACAATTTGAATTGCATATTGTGGAAAGAATGATCAGCTCTCTGCTGATGTCCACCCTTAGGCACACAACTAGCCTGCATTTTCCAGATTCCCAGCTTTGGCCAGGCTGGTTTCCCAAAAGGTTGCATACAGAAAAGGTTTCCTGCAGTGAGCATCTTGCCCTAGGTTGATCCAGGAGTGAGGAACAAGTTTATGCTATATTTAAGCCACTACCCATTTGGGTCTATTTATGAAAGAAGTTTAGCACTGGAGGGAGGTGGAGTATGGCATATCAAAATATGTCACCTGGGCATAAGGGCGACTTTTGAGCTAAAGGCACTTGTAAAACAGCAGGTGCAAGGGAGCACTTTAATCTCTCTTTTCTTCCTGAAAACAGGACACAGAACTTAAAAGATGCTGTCCCAGTCCCAGGAGGAAGGAAACTATCATCAGAGACTGGTGTCAAGCAGAAGAGACATCTTTACAGATCTTGTTAAAGTAACTCCTATCTTTCTTGAGTCTCCTCATATATTTTAGTTACTTTCCCACAAATGCCTCACTTTCCTCAACCTAGTTTACAAACACTGAGGTCTCACCATTTCTTTGGATCTTCATTTTCCCATGGGGGCTCTCTTGGACATGTGAAAACCTGTATGCTTTGCTCCTCTGTTGATCTATCTTATGTCAATTTAATTCTCGTGCTGGGCTAGAGACACTGAGAAAGAGATAAAGTTTGGTTTCCCCTACAGTGTTTCCCAACTAACTATATATGCTGTATTTTAAAATTATACACTCTTAGTACCATCGCACATGAGTAGAGATACTTTAACTTCTTTTTAGTCCTTTTTAGTCCATCAAAGTTGTTTTTACAAACTTTACTGTTTAGGAATCTCACAATAACCTTGACAAATAGCAACACTAGGAAAATATATATGTATAGTCAAAGCTATGGCTTTGTCAGTGCTCATGTATGGATGTAAGAATTGTACCATAAGAAGGCCGAGTGCCAAAGAATTGATGCTGTAAAATTGATGCTGTTGAATTAGGATTCCAGTCTCTGAGAATCTAGACATCAGCCCTTTCTAGGATCAAATATGTCTTTTAAGTATTGCCCATGCTTTCACCTTTTTCTGGAGCAAAAGGTCTTCTCCACTTTGTGCTGGAGAAGACTCTTGAGAGTCCCTTGGACTGCAAGGAGATCAATTCAGTCCATCCTAAAGGAAATCAACCCTGAAATTTCATTGCAAGGATTGCTGCTGAAGCTGAAACTCTAATACTTTGGCCACCTGATACAAAGAGACATCTCATTGGAAAAGATCTTGATGCTGGAAAAGATTGAAGGCAAAAGGAGAAGGGGGCAGCAGAGAATGTAATGGCTAGATAGCATCATTGACTCAATGGACATGAATTTGAGCAAACTCTGGAAGACAGTGGAGGTCAGGGGAGTCTGGTGTGCTACAGTTCATGGGTTTGAAAGAATCAGATATGACTTAATGAATGAACAACAATGACATGTTTCTTGAAAACAGTACTGCAGTAGGTAACTTTAAAGTCACTAAAGAAATTTTGAGTTCAAGCTTTCGATATTATGAAACAGAAAATCCCATAGAACCAGTAAAAAGAAAAGTAAACCAAGTTGCCATTTCAAACCTGAGTTGGTAGTAAATACACTTTGAAGAGATACTTCTGTGGTCCAAATGACCAGTAAGAAATAATTATTGACATCATAACTGTCCTTACCTGCTAAAGAGGACATATTAATAATGATGCCACCTTCACCTCCATTTTGTTTGCTCATGTAATCCAAGCCCAGGTAGGTTCCACTGATCACAGAAACCTAGTCCAGGGGCAGAAATAGGAAAAGCAACAGAAGCATTATATTTTATGATATAGTCACACCCCAACGTTTCTATTGCTATCTCAGACACTGATGGAGACTCCTGCAAGTGTTATCAATGAAAGGTTATAAAATGGCTGTGTTTTTGTTTTAAAGCCAGTCATTAACTCTTTTGTTTGCCTAAACTTGTAGAGCTCATCACATTTCTGCAAAACTTCACTTAGTTGCCCAATTTCTGAGATTTTACAATAAATGTTATATTACAACAGTGTCTTATTAACTTGCATTAATTCATAGCACCTTCAAGAATTCTATATATTATTTTTCTCTTCTAAATACTGGATACAAAATTTATTCACCCTGTTTAGCCCATAGTTCTCTTGCCCAGGTATTCTACATCCATCTGCTGCGTTTCATTCTCTTGCCTCTTGGAATATATCATAGTGGATACCCTTGATTGCTGTACAGTTCTCATTTCCTTCTTTTTTTGCATTTGTATCTACTTCTTCATGTAATACAAAGGAAGGCAATCTCCCTTGCTTTAGTGTAGACAGTGGTTAATCTAATTGAGTCACAGAAATCCCATTCCCCTTGCCTGAGACTGGTTTAGGAGATGAAAGTGACCCATTTCCCAGCCAGTAAGACCAGAGAAGGAGTCAGCTGCAAGTGGGGTCCAAGTTGGGGAGGGTGATGAAAGAGGATGCTGCAGAGAAAAATTTCAGTGCTCTTAAGAAAACCAAATGATTGCATTACTCCTTTTTCATTGCTTTCTACACAGGGAGTGGCAGGGACATTACCTTGAAAAGCAGGGATATTACTTTGCCAACAAAGGTTCAGTTCAGTTGCTCAGTCGTGTCTGACTCTTTGCAACATTGGTACTGCAGCACAGAAGGCTTCCTTGTCCATCACCAACACCCAGAGCTTGCTCACACTCATGTCCATCCAGTTGGTGATGCCATCCAACCATCTCAGCCTCTGTCATCCCCTTCTCCTCCCACCTTCAATCTTTCCCAGCATCAGGCTCTTTCCAATGAGTCAGTTCTTCACATCAAGTGGCCAAAGTATTGGAGTTTCAGCTTTAGCATCAGTCCTTCCAATGATTATTCAGGACCGATTTTCTTTAGGATGGCCTGGGTGGATCTCCTTGCAGTCCAAGGGACTCTCAAGAATCTTCTCCAACATCACAGCTCAAAAATATCAATTCTTCAGTGCTCAGCTTTCTTTACAGCCCAACTCTCACATCCATACATGACTACTGGAAAAACCATAGCTTTGACTAGATGAACCTTTGTTGACAAAGTAACATCTCTGCTTTTCAATATGCTATCTAGAATGGTCATAGCTTTCCTTCCATGGAGCAAGCGTCTTTTAATTTCATGGCTGCAATCACCATCTACAGTGGTTTTGGACCCCCAAAAAAGTCTCTCACAGTTTCCATTGTTTCCCCATCTATTTGCCATGAAGTAATGGAATCAGATGCCATGATCTTAGTATTCTGAATGTTGAGTTTTAAGCCAACTTTTTTACTCTCCTCTTTCACTTTCATCAAGAGGCTCTTTAGTTCTTCTTCACTTTCTGCCATAAGGGTGGTGTCGTCTGCATATCTGAGGTTACTGATATTTCTCCCAGCAATCTTGATTCCAACTTGTGCTTTATTCAGCTGGCATTTCTCATGATGTACTCTGAATATTAGTTAAATAAGTAGGGTGACAATATACAGCCTTAACATACTCCCTTCTAGATTTGGAACCAGTCTGTTGTTCCAAGTTCGGTTCTAACTGTTGCTTCTTGACCTGCATACAGATTTCTCAGAAAGCAGATCAAGTGGTCTGGTATTCCCATCTCTTTAAGAATTTTCCAGTTTGTTGTGATCCATACAGTCAATGTGCCACACAAGGCTTTGGCATAGTCAATAAAGCAGAAGTAGATGTTTTTCTGGAACTCTCTTGCTTTTTCTATGATCCAACAGATGTCGGCAATTTGATGTCTGGTTCCTCTGCCTTTTCTAAATCCAGCTCAAACATCTGGAAGCTCACGGTTTATATACTATTGAATCCTGGCTTGAAGAATTTTGAGCATTACTTTGCTAGTATGTGAAATGTGCAATTGTGCAGCAGTTTGAACATTCTTTGGCATTGCCTTTCTTTGGGATTGGAATGAAAACTGACCTTTTCCAGTAGTCATGTATGGATGTGAGAGTTGGAATATAAAGAAGGCTGAGTACTGAAGAATTGATGCTTTTGAACTGTGGTGTTGGAGAAGACTCTTCAGAATCCCTTGGATTGAAAAGAGATCAAACCAGTTAGTCCTAATGAAAATCAGTTCTGAATATTCATAGGAAGGACGATGTTGAAGCTGAAGCTCCAATACTTTGGCCACTTGATGCAAAGAACCAACTAATTGGAAAAGGCCCTGAAGCTGGGAAAGACTGTAGGCAGAAGGAGAAGGGGATGACAGAGGATGAAATGATTGGATGGCATCACTGACTCAATGAACATGAGTTTGACCATACTCCGGGAGTTGGTGATGGACAGGGAAGCCTGCTGTGCTGCAGTCCACGAGGTGGCAAAGAGTTGGACATGATTGAGTGACTGAACAACAACAATGGCTGGAATGAAGTTATAGAGATAGCATCCTTAAGAGGGAACCACCATGAAGGATGGCAGATGGAAGAGATGACAGGGACTGTCCTGATGATATCACAGAGCTGCAACATCAAGCAGCCCTGAACTCAGTGTCCTGTGAGATCACATAGCTGTCTCACCCAGACTGAGCAGGGAATTATTGTTCCCTGGACACATGGCCTTCAGTAATGAAATCATTTAATTTTGTTCATCACTCCTGCAGCTACCTTTTTGATACCTTATTCTGTTTTATTACTGACACCCACATATAGGCACCTTTTCAGTTTTATTCTAACATTTAAGAATTAATTGGCGCTTCCACGGTGGTCCAGTGGTTAAGAATCTGCCTTGTAATGCAGAAGACACCGGTTTGGCCCCTGGTCCTGGAAGATCCCACAGGCCACAGAGCAACTAAGCCCATGTGCCACAACTACTGAGCCTGTGCTCCATGACAAGAGAAGCGGGTGCATTGTAACCAGAGAGTAGCCCCTGCTCTCCACAATTAGAGAAAGCCTGCATGCAGCAACAAAAATCCAGCACAACCAAAAATAAATAAATAAGAACTAACCACTATCAAAAGAAACTTATGACATGCAACGTATTTGAAACCTTACATTCCCTTTTAGATTTAAGAACGCCTCTCCCTTCAACTCAGACTTTTAGAAGAAAACTTCCTTTTGAAACCGTATTTCCTATGATTTTCATTCTTTACAATACTGCAAAGAAAACAATATAACAGAGAATGAGATAACGAGTCTGAACCTGAGGGCATATATTGATGGTTACCTTCTTTTTATTTTAAAAATTCCTTTTGGAGTTTCCTTGACAAGCATTCAGAGTTGCCTCTATACCTAACAGTAGTTTTAGCACAAAGAAATAAACTGAAGATTCTATTCACTCAAGCCATGCATCAGTGTGATATTAAGCAAACTCAGGGAGAATGCATAAAACTGGCACATGATTCCCTTTTAAAAGGAAAAAAAAATCTTCAGTGGTTTATATAAGAAGGATTAAAAAATGTACATGGCTGGAATTACTGAAGTCAGATTCTGTGTGTTTCTGCCCAGGTCTCTAGCATGTCTGAACAGAATTTCTGTTTATGTGTATTGGCACTACTCTTTTATTCTCAGGTATTTACAGCTTTGCTGACACCTGTTTTGGGTTTTCAACATCTACACGATGCAGCCAGATAGAAGACTGGGGAATGTTTCTAATTTTTTTTTAAAAGCCAGATTTATTTCCTGTATTTTGATGAAGGAGGAAAAATAATTATCATGCCATCTATTATCAGGTTAAGAATTGAGTAATTTTTCAAATGAAAGTATTCTTCAAATAAATCTACAAGAAAAAAAAAAAACTAGTGTTTTAGCTGAACATATATATTTTCACCTCTCTTCCTTTACTATGACAATCTCTTCCACATCCCAGATCATATATTAAGGAAAATTCAATGTCTAATTTAACGTGTGGTTAGTCGTTCAGTTATGTCTGACTCTTTGCAAGCCCGTGGACTGCAGCCTGCCAGGTTCCTCTGTCCGTGGGAATTCTCCAGGCAAGAATACTGGAGTGGGTTGCCATGCCCTCCACAGGATCTTCCCAACCCAGGGATCCAACCCAGGTCTCCAGCATTGCAGGTGGATTCTTTACCAACTGAGCCACCAGGGAATCCTTAAATTTACATAGTGAGAATAAATAAAAACTTGACTATTGACAAAAAAAATCTAATGAACACATGCTTACTCAATATTTTCAGTTACGAAAAATTTTTTTATGTATACTGAAATTACAGTTGTTTAGTATTCCAAATCTTAAAATACTTTTTTTCATGAATTAAGGCATTCTGTAACTTAAAAGTCACTCTCATAAATTCCCCTATCCTGGAAATAATTCTCTAGTAATAAAGATAAATGGATAAATGAACTTAACTCCTCTCAATAAGCATCATGTCTTCTATTATACACACATATATGTATAGATAGGCTTCCCTGGGGGCTCAGCAGAAAAAAAAAAAACCACCTGCAATGCAGAAGACCCAGGAGACGTGGGTTTAATCCCTGGCTTGGGGAGATCCCATGGAGGAGGGCATGGGCTTCTGTGGGGGCTCAGACAGTAAAGAAGAATCTGTCTGCAATGTGGGAGACCTGGGTTCGACTGCTGGGTTGGGAAGATCCCTGGAGAAGAAAATGGCTACCCACTCCAGTACCCTTGTCTGGAGAATTCCATGGACAGAGGAACCATGGAGTCGCAAAGAGTCAGACACAACAGAGCAACACACACACACACACACACACACCCACAGACACACACACACACATGTATATATGTTCCTATCATATTTGTGTGTGTGTGTACTACTGAAATTTTCTAATCTGTTAT